GAGCGGCCACTGCACTCCAGTCTGGGCGACAGAGTGAGACTCCAACTCAAAAAAAAAAAAAAGAAAGAGAAGCTAAATTGGTTACTTCTGACCTTAGTTATTTATCATAACAATAATGAATAGCTTCAGTAGTGTGTTCTGGCTCACACGCTAGTAGACAGAGAGACTTACCTTTCACAGTACCTTAGCAGTTCAAGTTCAGTTCACCAGTGACAAATATTCAATAAAACATTTTAAATATACATGGCCTCACTGAGTAACTATATGAGAGTGTGTGTGTGTATACATTCTTTTTCTGAGATGTATCTTTGCTGATTTTAATCATAGCTGATTGAAGAAATCAATTGCATGTGTACCTGAAGTCTTTCAAGACAGTACAATCTTTTAAACTCAGAAAATAAATATTGTTGAAGAATATTTGTGGGTCTAGAGGCCACACAAAAATAACTAGTAATAAACATCTTCTATTGTTTGAAACTATCTTTACACCATGAAAAAAGTAGCTTCACTATGCTTCATAGCTCTATCCCTTAGAGATAAAATATGCACACTTCTCTTGCCACTCAAAGCCCTCACTCAGTAGACTTCTCCATTCAATCTTCTCTCTTAGTGATCCACTGTATAAGTCCTGAACTTCATGATGATTAGTCTTCTTATTTTACTTCAAACGCATTTACTGCCAACTGAAGTCTTTGCTATAGCGCTTCTTCCCCAAATCAATTGGGACAAGCTCAGTAGCACTTGTAATGTAGAGCAGTACCATAAACATGTTATTTGTACACAGCAATTTCCACGTCAACTGCAGAAAAATAAGTGCCTCTCAGAGGCTGTAGGACAAAATCTGAGTTAGAAAAATATTCAGAGAAAATTATGCCAAGAACAAATTCCACTTGTGTCCCTAAATCCTCTGTTAGAACAGAAAGACCATCAGCTAAGAGGCAAATCTATTTAAAATGAGATACACCCTTTCAGTTCTGCCCTTCAGGAGAAGTAGCATTTAAAGAAGAAGAAAGTATAAAACCAAATCAGTGTGTATAAGGAATAACATCTCACATAGTGTTTAATGGTGAATATATTAAGAACTGCTTCTTAAAATTATGTTGTAAATTATGAAATTAATTTATCATATTCATCCTGTGACTAATAGTTATGGTCACTTCACAATGAAATTAGGTCCTTGAGGAAGATGGGCCTGCCAGTGCTAGGTGATATAATGCTCTTGTGCAGTGTTTCTCAGATCTTTTCACCAAAGCACATTTGGCAGCAGTGGTCAGAGAACATGCGTTATTGGAGGATAATAGTCCTTCAAAATTTAGTTTTATCTTTAAAAGTATCACAAATTATACTTTACAGTTCATTGCATGTACATGTTTGGTGTAACATAAAATTATCTTTCTAAGTAAAAGTGTTCTTTCAGGGAGATATTTAATCTGGGCCTTAAGTATTCCATGGCACAAAAGCACAAGCTTAAGAAGACCAGGGGTTCTCCTCAGAGTTAATGCAGCACATTATTTTTAATAATCCCTACAGGTTTAAAAATATCAATGAAACCCCCTGGCAAGAAATAAGAAGGTCCCTAAGGACAACAAGGAAAGTTACAGGATCACATGTAGAGAGACCTAAGAATTCTCAACAGTGGCTAAGATGAAGCATAAATTAGAACCAGCACAGAGTTTCAACACAGTGAGAAACAAGTCACTAGAATCTTAGGGTACATGAGAAATAAGTCATGCAGGAAGCTTTCACGCAGGGCTTCCACATTGTAGCCAGTGGTGAGAATCTGTGTGACCTCCCTATGGGCTCTCTCCAGGATGATCTCAGAAAGCTTTATGGTGTGTAGAGGATGTCTTCTCTGATGGGCATTGCTACTATTATACACCACAGGTGAGCCTACTCACCTATACATTTGTTAATTCAATAAGCTCAAGAGACTAAGTATCAAAGACGATTGGTTTCTTTTTTAGCTCAAAATCCAAAAGAAAAAACTCTCAGAGTGTTTTGTTCTAAATGCAATTTACACTCTCCAAAATAAGTGCATTCAGTGGTACCAAAGTTATCCACAGATCTTCCCCTTATCAGGAAATGGCTGAGGCACAAAGAATGATATGACTTTTGTAGATATTTTGAGCAAAATAGTATGAAGCTGGGTTTATTCAGTGGAACTGAAACCAAGAGAAAATTGAGACTTTTTAAAAATCTCTCTCAGTTCTCCTTCTTTGTCTATTCTATTACTTACCTGCCCCTAAGAAGTGACATTTAAAATAAAAGAAAGGATAAAATCAAATCAGTATGTATAAGGAGTAACATCTCACATAGAGTTTAATGGTGAATATATTAAGAACCGCTTCTTATAATTATGTTGGAAATTATGTGATTAATTTACATAATTTCTCCTGAGGCTAATAGTTTCTCTGCAAGGTTTTTGTTTGTTTACTGCTTTAAATATCAACAAGAGTAGTCTATAGCTCAAATACATGAAGCTGAGTCTTGTACATTTTGATTTGGGGTCAAAATCTGTGAATCTGAGTTCAGAATCATGGTTGCTGCTGCTCTGTTCCAGGGGTAAGTGGCTGCTCTCTGCATCACTGCTTTCTTTCCTGCTTGGAAAGATACAGAAGGTGTAGAGCACCCATAGTGTGGAACCATCCTTCTATGATGTCTTACCAAAATGACTATAACAATGCTGGTTTAATTTAGCTCTTCATAGTCATGCTAGCTTAAAAATACTATAAATAATTCATTCTCATCTTTTAGTTTCCTTTTCTTCTTTGTTTCTTGTCCATCAGGCTACAGTCTGTTTTGACAAGATTGGCTCAACAGGAAGGCTGTGTTTGTTCCTAAATGGATAGATTCATAGTTCACTTTATGCATTACAAATTTGCAACCGTTACATGATTATAAATACATGTATCTTATTAATATTACCTCATTGACTAGAAGGGATTTTTCTACTTGATTATGTTCAGTGAGGACTATAAATACAAAACGATCTTTTCTATCAAATACTATATATATAATACTATTTCGATTAAAAAGTTAAGATAAGACGGGCTTGGTGGCTCAGCCTGTAAGCCCAGTGCTTTGGGAGACTGAAGTGAGTGGATTGCCTGAACCCACGGGTTCAGGACCCACCTGGGCAACTTGGCGAGACCTCATCTCTACAATAAATCAAAAATTAGCCGGGCATGGTAGCGCGTGCCTGTAGTTGCAGCTCCTTGGAAGGCTGAGGTGGAAGGATCACCGGAGCCCAGCAGGTCGAGGCTGCAGTGGCCAGGAGCGGCCACTGCACTTCAGTCTGTCTGGGTGACAGAGTGAGACTCCAACTCAAAAAAAAAAAAATGTTAAGATAAATTCTCCTCTTATCAATCAAAAAAACTAAAGGTATTTTGTTAAAATTTTTCTGGAGATTCCTGTATTTTAAGGTCATCATTTTCTCTTTTCACAGAGTTGTCCTTGATTCTTGAAATACATCTTCTTTGATGATATTCGAAAGGAAACAAAGACAATTTTCAGAATATGGATAAATAATTATTTTTGAAATAGCACCTTCCATTCTCTTGTATCTTGTTATTTTCAACATTGGGGACTATCTTTAAAGGGACTAAAATGGTGAATTTTTCAAATAGTGAATTTCAAGGTAAAATTCTGGCAACAGGAATAAGAGGAGCTTATTGTACTTTTCTTGGTAATTGTAGTTTTCTTCTCCAATACATCTTATGCATTATATTTATCTATAATAAAATATTTCTTTTTAAATGTGTATGAAGCATCATAAATTATCATGTGAAATTAATCAGCATGGAATGAATAATACTGACGTTTTATTGCTAAAAACAAGTGATTAGATTCCAAATTATAAATGAGCTGTAGTACAATATAAATATCTTTCAACAGGAAAAAGCAAAATATATCGAGATTGAAGTGCAGTACCATGATTACAACTCACTCCAACCTGGACATCCTGGGTTCAGCTAATCCTCCTGCCTCAGCCTCCTGAGTAGCTGCAACTATAGAAGCATGCCATTATGCTCAGCCAAATTTTTTTATTCTTTGTAGTGTCAAGGGATCACTGTGTTGCTTAGGAAGATCTTGAACTCCTGGGTTCAAGTAATCCTTCCGCCTCAGCCTTCCAAAGTGCTAGGATTACAAGCATGAGTTACCATACCTGGCCTATATAAATAATTTTGTCATCTAAATATCCTTGTTGACTTTCTCTTGGTATCACTAAAAATTTGTTAGGAAGTAAATTCTCCTAATGGAAATAGCTCCAAAAAGAAAGAATCTAAAATAACGTCAAACACAAACCACTCAATGCTGTAAAAAGGGTCAGATTCAAATCTATTAAATCTATTAAAGATGCCCAAACTTTACCTGTACAATGACCACTTGTAAATCTAATCCTGAATTGTACCCCACATCTTTAAAATAGATTTTAAAATAAAAATTTAATTTAATTTAATTTAAAAAGAAAGATCTAGGGGAGAGTAATATATGAAATAAGAGAGAGGGGTATATTTTTGAAGTTAAATAGCAAAAACGACATAAATGGGTAAAGTCTTCTATCCATCAAGAAAGTGTTAGAGAAGGACAGATATAGGCTGAATCTTAAGATAGTACTGATAAATGAAACAAAAATGGCATATATGTCCTCATATTTTGAAGTGAACAGCAATAAGTAATTCCTATATATAAACAACCTTTACTGAAACATAAATTAGGTATAAAACAAGCCATTTCTGCCTCCATCTCAATTTCTTTATTCTAAAAGAAGATGAAATTTAATTTTTGTACACTGCCAAAAAGATTTAAACAGCCTAGGATTTACAAGAGTCAGAAACAAAAGACTCTCTCAGAATGGGTCAGGATTTGCTCAAAAATTATTTTAGAATATCCAGTACCTTTGCCTGCATGGGTCAAACTCATTATCCCAAGAAAAGCTTCAAGATGCCTCAGCAGCAAAGGAAATTGTCATGGTCTATCTGTCTTCTCTCCACAGTTTGGGGACCATGAATAACTCAGAGATAGCTACTGTGACACAGTTTGTTTTACTGGGCTTTCCTGGTCCCTGGAAAATGCAGATTGTCCTTTTCTCAATGATTTTGTTGGTATACATCTTGACTCTGACTGGGAATATGGCCATCATTTGTGCAGTAAGGTGGGATCACCGACTCCATACCCCTATGTACATGTTCCTGGCCAACTTCTCCTTCCTAGAGATCTGGTATGTGACCTGCACAGCTCCCAACATGCTGACCAACTTTCTTTCCAAAACTAAGACTATATCCTTCTCTGGCTGCTTCACTCAGTTCTACTTCTTCTTTTCCCTGGGCACAACTGAGTGCTTCTTCCTCTGTGTCATGGCTTACGACCGGTACCTGGCCATCTGCCACCCACTACATTATCCCTCCATCATGACGGGTCAGTTTTGTGTCATTTTGGTGTCTCTTTGTTGGCTCATTGGTTTCTTTGACCATTCAATTCCCATTTTCTTCATTTCTCAACTACCCTTCTGTGGTCCCAACATCATTGATCATTTTCTGTGTGATGTGGACCCATTGGTGGCATTGTCCTGTGTCCCTAAACCCATCATAGAGCATGTATTCCATTCTGTGAGCTCTCTTACCATCATTCTCACCATGTTGTATATCCTTGGGTCCTATACACTGGTGCTCAGAGCTGTGCTTCAAGTTTCTTCTTCAACTGGACGACAAAAAGCCTTCTCTACCTGTGGGTCCCACTTGGTTGTGGTGTCTCTGTTCTATGGAACCATAATGGTGATGTATGTGAGTCCTACATCTAGCAACTCAGTTGCTATGCACAAGATCATCACACTGATATACTCTGTGGTAACCCCAGTCTTAAACCCCCTCATCTACAGCCTGCGTAACAAGGATATGAAATATGCCCTCCGTCATGTCTTCTGTGGAATGAAAATTATCCAGAACTCTTGAACAGTCTTTGCATAATCCAGTGATCTACAAGTGGAAGAATAACCTTCTTCCTTTAATATAAACTGACTTGGTCTTATTCATAGCCAGCACAGCACTTTGGTACAAAGCAAAAACCTTCATGTATCTGATCATATTTTGATGAGCTTCTAGTTTCAGAAATGTGTTCCATGGCAAGAGATTGACCCCAAACTGTAGTAAAAATAACACTTAAAACTCTTAATGTCTATTTCCATGAAGGTTTGGATATTGTCAGTATGCAATCTCTGTCCACACAATTTTGTTAAGACATATGAATCAAATTGGTTATTTGCTTATATGGTTGCCTGATAATTCTTTAAAAAGACACACAGAAATACATCTGTTGTCCTGGATTTTTGGTGACACAATCTCTTGGATACAATAAGAGACTGAGAAATTTTGTTTCACAATTCTTAGTTCATCATTCTTATGAACAGTGTACAACGGAAGACTGGAATTTAGATTTGGTAAGAGTTGCTAGTGTGTAAACCCCCTAAGTGAAGCAAATTGTCCATCAAAAGAACCACAAAGAGGGCTTGACTTGTCCCCTGAAATTTGAGGTACACCTGGACTGTCTCTAATTTATACCTGGAAAAAATATAGACTGTGAAAGAGCTGACTCTGAGAGTAGAGCAAAAAAGAGATGAGTTACAGCAAAAGCAAATTAAATTTCCACCCATCAAAGAGCAAATATAGAATACCCAAAGTTGACCTAGTTAGACTCTATGGAAAGTAACCTTCTTGTACCATCTTAAAAGGGACCCTACCCCAAAGTACTGCTTGGAGAAGTAAGCCAATCCCAAAAGCGAATCTATATGGAGTAGGTCAGCCAAATCCAGGGATGAAAGAAATCGCAAGTAGCCAACCAGTGAAGCATTGCCCATGTCAGAGAACTGCAGTTTGAGGAGCTCATCTTAACAAAAAGAAAATATTTCGTGAGAGAAAAATTGACATTCACACTCAGACTTATTTTTTTGTAGAGATATTGTTTCTCTATATTTCCCAGACTGGCCTTGAACTCCTGGTCTCAGCAATCCTCTCACCTTGGCCTCCCAAAGCACTGGATTACAGGCTTGAACCACTGCAGTGGGCATGTTTTTCACTTCTGTGTGTGTGTGTGTGTGTGTGTGTGTGTGTGTGTGTGTTTAAGTATGCCACTATTACATGGGTAGTTTATCTCTCTCTTTGTAGTTTATCTTAGCATCTATTAGGACAGGCTTCTTCTATTATTCTGTTTCAAGGTAAACTTAGCTACTAGTAGAACTTTGTTCTTCTATATAAAGTTTATAACAAGTTTATCAGTTTATTTGAAAAACTGAAATCATTATTGACTTCATAGATTAATTCTGGAAGAACTGACTTGTTTTTAAATTTTGGGTCATCTGCTCTAAGAGTATTGAATGCCTCTCCTTTTATACAGAACATATTCTATGACATTTATTAATGTCCTCAAATCTTTATAGAGGTTGTGTTTATTTTGGGAAGTTACTCTTACATACTTTAGATTTTGATAAATGATATCTTCTTAATCATATTTTATTTAAATACTTTTATCTCTGTGGTCTTTAGGTGCATAGAATGGAATTAATCATTGACGGTTACAAATTGTCTTGTTTCTTCACTCCCACTTCTTCCCTTGACATTTAATTTTTTTTAATTTTTGAAAATAAAAACAAACAACCCCATTAAAAAACGGGCAAAGGACTTGAACAGACACTTCTCAAAAGAAGACATAAAAGCAGCCAACAGACATATTAGCTCAACCTCACTGATCATCAGAGAAATGTAAATCAAAACTACAATGAGATACCACCTAACACCTGTAAAGATGGCCATCATTAATAAGTCAAAAACAACGGATACTGCATGGGTGCAGAACAAAGGAAATGCTTCTACTACTGTTGGTGGGAGTGCAAGCTAGTTCAACCTCTACGGAAGAACTGTCATTTTAAAATGTTAGGTCATCAACTCTAAAGGTATTGAATGCCTCTCCCTTTATACAAAGCATATTCCATGACATTTATTAATGTGTGGCAATTCCTAAAAGAACTAAAAATAGACCTTCCATGCCGTCCAACAATCCCTCTCCAGGAAATATACCTGGAGAAAAATAAATCATTCTACAAAAAAGATACCTGCACATGCATGTTTATTGTTGTACTATTCACAATAGCAAAAACATGAAACCAACCCTACAGTCATAAAGAAGAACAAAATCATGAACTTCCCAGCAAAATAGATGGAGTTGGAGACCATCATACTAAGTGATCTATCACAGCAACAAAGAACTGAATACCATGTGTTCTCACTCAAAAGTGGGCCCTAAACAATAATCACATGAACACAAGGGAGAGATTGGCCGTGGCTGGGCATTGCTATGGGAGGGAGGGAAGAAGGAGTGTTGGAGCACCTGACAACACAAAGGGCACCTGGTCCACTACCGGGGGAGTAAGGGCCAGTCAGAGGCTCAAACTTCACCTGCATGCAGCCTACTTATGTAGTCAATCCTCACTTATTTCCCACATTTCTATAATAAGATAATAAAATCAAATTTATATATATATATCATCTTTTCTGGGAAAGTCAATGGAAAAGGTCATTTGTAAATGCTGGAAAACACAGAGAAGACCACATTCTGGGCATCTGATAAGGATGTGGTATAGGGAAGTCACAGTCATCCAACAGAGAGAAAGACACATCTCGGTCTACCTTTTAGATCCATCATGACCCACCTCCACTTCTCAGGTATACATGAAGATAGAACACATCTGTGGTGCCAATTGAGTTTCCTCAACTGAACCAAGCAACAAGGCATCAAGCAAAGCATGTGCAGGAACTTTATCAGTCCATGGCCCAGGCAAGTCATGTATGCTAAGAATCTGGGCCAAGATTATCTGAGCACTGTGGGGTCAGATAAAAAGAGTATTTAATGGGCAGCTGGTATCTTGGAAATGGCCACTCCTAATGCATTCATCTCTCAAATCTTTTTGCTCCAGTTTAGACTAATAGTTTCCATCCATTCTTTGTTCAGAAATGTCATTCCGAGGTTTCCTTTACTCCTAAAGATTCCCTTTACCTCTTTCTTGCATTGGATATCCCGTGTTTCTGTATTCCATGTTGTCTTATTTGCTAGTTTACTCTCTCATTGTAGTGATACACATCTTCCAGGAGCTTCTTAAAAATGGGTACATGATACTCAAAGTCTTCAACACCTTGAATGTCTCAAAATGTCTTTATTCTACCCCTTACAATTTGTTGATAGTTTTAGCTGGGTGTAGAATTCTAAGCTGAAAATCATTTTCCATTAGACGTTTAGAAGCATACTCTGTCAGGCACAGTGGCTCATGCCTATAATCCCTGCACTTTGGGAGGCCAGGGTGTGAGGATTGCCTGAGTCCATGGGTTCAACACCAGCCTGGGCAACTTGGCAAGACCTCATCTCTACAATAAATAAATAAATAAATTAGCCAGGCATAGTGGCACATGCCTGTAGTTCCAGCTACTTGGAAGGCTAAGGCAGAAGGATCACCTGAGCCCAGCCAGTGGAGGCTGCAGTGGCTGGGAGTGTGCCACTGCCCTCCAGCCTCCAGCCTGGGTGACAGAGTAAGACTCCAACTCAAAAAACAATAACAACAAAAAGGCATACTCCATTCCCTTTTTGCTTCCATTGTCACTCTTCAAAAGTTCAAAACCATTCTGACTCCTGATCCTTTGTATGTAGCTAACTTCTTATCTTAAAGGAATGAAGAATGTGCCTCATCAATCAGTAGTTTCTTTATTCATCCAAGAGTTGCTTTTAGGACCTAGAACCAATTGAACTAATTTAGAAATCTATGCCATCAGAAATTTTTTTTTCCTGGAAATTATGCTGACGCTTTCTAGTCCATGAGGCTAGAGTTCTGATCCCTAAGCCTGAGAACTACTGCTTACTGAAAACTGATTCTCTTAACTTTTATGAATCGTTGATACAAACCATCTAATTTTAAAATCCCCCAGTACTCATGAAATAAGCTCATCTTCTAATCTGTGTATGAAGCTTTGATACTCAAAGTATTGCAACATCACTTGGAAGCTCATTCAAAAACCAGATGCCAAGTAATACTGAAGGGCTACTGAGTGAGAATCAGTAGTTTAGTAAGATTCCCCAGGTGATTCAAATGCATGTCAAAGTCTGAGAACCACTATCTTTTGAGAAGGTGTAAAAAGTACTGATGCCTAGGCTCACTCCAATTATTTTTATTTGTCTACCATAAACCCTGGATATCAGAAGTTTTAGGCACTCCCCCCAGACAATGGTTGAATACCATTGTCCTATACCATCGCTACTCAGTGTGGCCTGTGAACTCGCAAGGTCAACATTACATAAAAGCTTGTCAGAAAATCAGACTCTCAGGTCCCAACCTTCTGAATCAGTCTCTGAAGTTTAAAAGATGTCCAGGTGATTCATGTACACATTAGCATTTGAGAACCCCTGACACAGAGTGTCATTAAATCTGATTTTCACATACAAGCTCCCCCAGTAACCATCAGTGAAGATTTTCTCCTTGCTCATCACTGTTACCTTTCCCTAGAAGTCATCTTTTAAAGAAGTGGAATAAGAGGAACCTAGGAAGAAACCCCACTTTTTTAGAAAAAGAAAAAGGACAATGATTTTTTTAAAAATTGAAGCTAACTTCTCACATTTGCAATGGTTTCAAAGTCCCCACTATAAGAAAGTGAAATCACAGTGGAAACTGGCAACTCAACTAAATTTGTCAATTAAATGACTTCTGTAATAGACAATTTTAGAATTCTTTCAACAATAATTAGTCCTTGACAGGTCACTCAAGGTAGCTCCAATCCAATACCAGCCACCTGGTCATTACAGTGAATGACTCCCAGAAACTTTAGTGAATTTAATTTTTTAGTGACCAACAGAATATAGTTTACTGTTTTGCTATGGTAAAGTACTTCATTTAAGCTAGAGAGAAAAGTGTTCACAAACATGTCTCAATTACAGAATTAGAGTCATAGACAAAATTAGCATTTATGACCAGACGCAGTGGCTCAAGCCTGTAATCCCAGCACTTTGGGAGGCCAAGGCAAGAGAATTGCCTGAGACCAGGGGTTCGAGACCAGCCTGGGCAACTTGGTGAGACCTCGTCTCTACAATAAATCAAAAACTTATCCAGGCATGGAGGCACATGCCTGTAATTCCAGCTACTTGGAAGGCTGAGGTGGAAGGATGACATAAGCCCAGTAGGTCAAGGCTGCAGTGGCCGTGAACATGCCACTGCACTACAGCCTAGGTGACAGAGTGAGACTCCAACTCAAAAAAAAAAAACAAAAAACAAACTAGCATTTGTTTCACTGATCCCCACAGAGAATGATTTCTTAATGGAATGCAATCTCTTTGCCATAGGTCTCATGACATTTACTTGGCATATTCCCTGGTTCTTCTGTTTCCTTAACTCTAGCCAATATACTAGAGTTAATATTATATACATATAGAAGCTAATATACTAAATTCTGGGTGATCCCCAAGGGTTGGAAGGAGGTTACACTCCAGAGAAACTTAGAGGAGCCACTGAGACCACATGGGAGTAGACACAATGTTTTACCATAATTCCTGAGAGGAAATATAGACTTAACACCTATTCACATATTACACGTCTCAGAAAATTCCAAGAAAAGGCTCTGGAGTCTCCATAAATGAAGGAGGTGCAATGAGTAATATATAATGCCCTCACCTGGAGTTTTTGTCATCAGAGTCAGTGAAGAGATAGATGCTTGATGCTGAGATTATGTTCCATTCCTCGTGCCCATCCCTCTCTCCAAGCTGAGCCAGAAGAGACATCACTTTGTGTAAAAGAAGAGGACTGAGGTATATTACAGTGTTTTTTACTTTTTTTTTTTTTTTTTGAGTTGG